AGTTATCAGTTCAATTCTTAAAAAAAAAAAAAAAAAAAAAAAAAAGAAAAGGAGGGTGGGGATGTGAACGAAATATGTTACATAGTACAACTATGAAAATGTCAGAGTGAAATGCAATATTGCATACAATTAATATGCACTAATAAAAATGGAAAAAAAACTAAAAGAAAAATAGAAATGAGTAGAACTTGGAAAACATATCTAAATCACAGGCTTTATTGTTGCTTACACTGGCATGCCTGGCTTTGTGGAATGTCTACCTTTGGCAACAATCATAAGAGATCCTCCAAGAGTGGTCTTTTTTACATCTGAAGTGCAGTATCCTACACCAGGGACAATGAACATCATACAAACTTACAGCATGGAAAAGAAGCATGTTTCCTGTAGTGAGAATGCCTGTAAATGGATATTCAGCCATCAAAAATCTTTTACATATTAATTTTATTTACCTTCCAGAGAACCCATAGTATAGGTGCAACACGTGTTAATTGTTACTCGCTGTATCTGAGATTTAGAAACTAGAAGTAACTAATCTAAGTTGTGCTAAATGAAACAAAATCAATTCAAGTGCCTGGTCCGGATCTTGGTGGGTACTCATGGTAATGAATCTTCACTTTCTATTTGCTTTTAAGATTCAAAAAGAAGGATTTGAATTTGAACCCACCCCAACAGGTGATTCCTAACCTGTTGTCTTTTTGTCTACATCTTTGATATTATTATCTCATTTCCTAGACAGATAGCTTTTATCTCAAGCAAGAACCACTGTAGTGTCCTGTCAGGTGAGATTCCCTTCAGCATCTGTGAGGATCAGGCCCCTGCCTGTGGTTCTGACCCGATCCTTTCTGTTCTTTATAAGTCTGCTTATTTACTGGCTATATTTTCTCGCAAAAATGTGAGAGCTGTGTGTGTGTTGAGGTTTTATTGTTCCTTATTGTATCTATAGGACTGAGACAAAATGGAGTATAGCAGGTACTCAGTAAACCTGGGTTAAGAATATATTTTAATATCAAAATATGAAAAGGCATGTAACAGTTTAGATGCTAGACACATTTAGATTCATTTAGACTATATAAACAATCACCTGAACAAAAGTTCCTAGCAAACCTTCAAACCTTCCCACAGTAAGGAATAGGTTTTTAGTATTTCTCTGGTTTTCTGGTCCATTATAGTGAAGTTTTCAATGCTGGCTTGATTTACACATCCCACTGGTAGAAACTGGGTGATGTTGCTTTAGTTATCTCGCTATACAAACCTGTCTGTCCCTGCTGGTCCATTCCTCAACTTGAACTGGACCTGTCCAGGCTTTCATTGCCTATCTTGGTCACTTTTCTCATCACTGGAACAAAATGCCTGGCACCAGTAATGTAAGGGGGGTGGTTTATTTTGACCCATGCATTTAGTCCTTATTGCACTGGTTCCCAGGCAGGCGGGCATGGCGGAGGGGCATAGTGGAGGGAAAGCTGCCCACAGCAGAGCAGTCAGAAAGCAGCAAGTCACGGGAGAGATGAGGAGGAAGCTGTAGCCTTTGGTCACACCCACATGTGCAGGGCAGGGCAGCTTAATGTCCTATAATCCAGTCCCCTTCCAAATGCATGACACTTTGAGCACCATTTTAGACCTAAACCATAACATTGCAGAAGAGAGTTTCCCTGCAGAGGCCACAGTGCCTAGACTGAAATGCTGGGAAGAAAAAGAAAATAAAATTGGTTCTTTGCCAAGTGCACATAGCATGGAAATAGAATATATGTGTATTGAGAAGAAAAATGTTTAGGTGGGTTATATAGGAAAGTTGATGTTGCATTTATGAAGTTAGTCTTTGAGCTTTGATTACCAGGAAGATGACAGGATCTTCATTGTGGAAGACACTGAGAATAGAAACACAGGACATCTCCTTTTATCTCGATGTGATTTGAGGACAAGAGGCTTGAATGTGATTATTCTCATCATCACACCAGCATTTATTGATTACTTACTGGAGTTGTTCTCGAAGGGTGCGTGAAGACCCTGGGATTTCCTGAGATCCTTCCACAGGGCACACACAGTCAAACCTACCTTTATTAAAAACACTGAGCTGTTCCATTTTTTCATTTTATTGACATTTTGTGCTGCTAAGGAATGATAGCCAGAACTGGCTTCTGCTGCCTTTGCATGACCCAAGGTCGAGGCCCACGTTATTCACCACCACACATCCACGGCTTGAGAAGTGCTAATTTCACTTATAACTGTCTTTCTGAAGCAGTTAAAATACCAGTTTTTATAAAATGTGACTGTTATGGTTTATGTCTGTGTGTTCCCCCAAAGCCTCCTGCAGCCCTGGGGCAGGCTATTAGAGTTTGAATATGGGTGTGAGAGCTGCACCCGCCT